TATTTGTGTGGTTATAAATCTATGTATGTTCTTATATTCAAATGATATAAAACTTTGATTGTATCCCAATAGAATGAGTGGTGGTTGTTGTAGAGGGATCATTATCCTCATCGAGATAGTTCGAAAGGAGGGTGATTGTCATTGTGTTACTATAGATGTTGTGCAATTTTCCAAGAAAGAGAGTAATAAAGGCAAATTTAGAAAAGTAAATAAAGAAGAAGAAATTTGAAACATTTATTTTGATATATATAACAATGATAAAAGATGTATTTCCCATGTTGAGAGACATGAGTGGGTTTCTCACTATAGCCTTTGTCATGGTTTGGGTTCCAAAGTATTTTTCTTCCAATACCTCTTGCTATATTATAATTAATTCATTGGCCTTTTTCAATGACTTGAGCCTTTAAATTCGATAAGCACTTGTCAATATTGTTCTCTAGCCTATCATTTAATTGCTCAATAAATTCACAATATCACCCTTAGAGGGGGTGCATAAGGTGTGTCTTGCCTAAAGAGTTGTTTAATAAACTCATCAACCACATTAATTTTAAATTATCCTCCAATATAGTTAAGGTGTTTCATTACTTTAAAGACACTTAAAGACTTAAGGTGATATGCTTCCAAGAATCAAAGGCACTTCAAAATTTCCCTCCATGTTTAGAACCATAAAGTTAACCAAGGAGATAAGTTTATCAACATTAACAAGATCATATTCCATGATACCAAAAGGAGATGACCTATCTATGAACTATAATCTTATTTGTCAACTTAAATTCACCTCTATCAAGTCTCTTCATTAGAGATAAAGACATCAAATTCTACTCACATTTAACTTAGTGTTATTGAAAATAGGATTTTGGCCCAACAAATTCTACTTGTCTTTAACTTTGCCTAATGAAAAAAAAAATTCATGTAGCGAATTTCAATGCAATACTCCATCTTGCATCTTGGCTTGAATTTTGCCTAAGGAATTTCAATGCGAGATTCCCTTGTGAGTCTCAACCTAAAATTCGTCTAGTAAAATTTAATTATGGCACAATTTCTCCCAATGAGGAAGGATTTGTCCAACAAAATTCAGTGCAAGACTCCATCTTGAGTCTTGGCTCAAAAATTGCCCATCAAACCTATTTTTGTGTAGCAAAGTTTATAGGCTTAGTTAGCCATTTTTTCCATTATTGAATTTCAACCATAATCATACTCTTCCACAAGTTCAAATCAAGATCTAAACCATAAAAATGATTCTAAACAACTCATACATACCTTGCCTTAAAACGCAAGAATCAATGGGGATAAAGACTACATCAAACCCTATAGGTTTAACTCCTCTCCTCAAAATCCAAGTTATAAGGAACTTAAATTAGCTTTTACAACTCCAACACAACTTTAAGGGAGGATCTAAAGACTCATGGTGGAATCAAAAGAAGAAAAAGTTTTCCTTGACTTAAGAACTTATATCTCTAAAACTTCTCTCTAAGGTTTGAGAAATGGACCTATGAAATTCTTGTTTCTGAAAACCTTATATACCTCTCTCCTTTCTTGGTCAAACTTGACCTTAATTTAAAGATCTTTAAAACAACTCAACTCTCAAATATTATTTAATCCTCAAAATTCTACAAAATAACTAAAAACACCACACAAACAACTTAAAAGCCTCACAAAATCATCATATAACATACAAACATGCATAAAGGAAAAAACTCAATGTTACAAGAGGTATCCAAACCCTTTTACACACTTGACCAAGCTTTTGCATAAATAACTAGCTTACAACAAACATAACTCATTGTACAGTTTCTTTTTTCAGTAAACAATTCAACTAATTTGCATAACCTATCCCTATTACATTATTACATAATTTATAGTCCCTTGAGTTTAACCCAACAACCATTTTTCCAACCATATCATACATATGTTGACGAAAAATTCTGTGCAATTAATCCAACAATTTCAGAGAGACTTGAATGATAATTTTTAGTGACGTTTTTCCTCTCAACAACATTTTTTATCTATTAAATTATAATTTGAAACTATATATTAAGAAGATCTTGTTTCATTAAGAACAAATCAGTCAACTTATCTCGCCTTACTTTAAGTGGATTTACCCACTTTGCCCCTCTTAATTAAAAATTAAAAATGTAAAAAACAAAATAAAGATTCTATAAAATCACTCTTGCCGTGCATGAATACGACTCGAAAACAGCTCTGCGAAACATCTATATTCTTTGTTAAATTATTTATTTATACTTATTTTTCGTAAGTTAATTTAAATTATTTAATTTTTTTTTGTTTGACGATAATATTTGGATCACCTATTCACGGTAAACTAACTAAAACTTACCTGTTTGTAATACAGAGAAAATATTTTATTAAAAAGAAAACAATCTAATTCTACTATTGACAAACTCATTAAAAATACATGCGCACAATTATAATCATAATTCTTCCATCCAGTTTTTAAATTATAACTTTATATTTTATTGAATGTTTATGCTAATTTTTCTTAAAATTAAATAATAATCAAATTATTTATATTTTAGTATATCTTAAAAAATATATGCTATATTGATTTTGATATATATGAACAAAGTATCAAATAATTTTGAATTAATATAAAATTTTATATATAATTAAGTAAAATAAACTTTTAATTTAACAGTAAATTTTAAGAATTATCCAATTAAAAATTATTGACTTGTATAATAGTTAATAAAAGTTACAACAGTGTAATTTAATTTCTTCAAATGTATGTGTGTATATGTTTGTCTGTATGAGGAAAAATCTTTCTATCCTATAAGTAATTCTACCTAGACTTATTCCGTTCAATAACAAATTTTTTACATCAAATTTCAACGATTCAATCATTGAAATTAAAATTTTTAATACATAGATCAAGTCTGTAAATTTTTTTTAAAAAAAATTAAAATTATTTGATATTTCGTTTCATTAATTCAAATCGATGTATAAAATACTTTTATGATTAATGAAACAAAGTATCAAATAATTTTTAAATTTTTTAAAAATTTGTAGACTTGATCTATGCATTAAAAACTTTAAATTTAATGGTTGGATCGTTAAAATTTAATATAAAACATGAGTTATTGAACGTAACAAGTCTAGTACTTACTCCTTGAGTAAATCAATCTCTCTCTCTCTCTCTCTCTCTCTCTCTCTCTCTCTATATA